ACAAGTACCGATGGCCGATCCACCCCTCTCAGATTGACGTGCAGCTCACTGTGGGTGCCTGCTGGCAAGGTAATGATGATGGTGATGATGATGATGATGATGATGATACTGATGATGATAAATGATGACGATGAAAATGCAACTAGCTCTCACAGTCTCACGTCAGAATTAGATGTTCATCCATGTTTCTCAAATGTCAATTTTCGAAATTGTTGCAAAAGTCACATTTCGAAGTGTTTAAGGTTAAGTTTTGGCATTAACTCCAAAATCTTAAGGTTAGGCATTAACTCTGAATGGTTAAGGTAAGGTTCATGTTTGGGATAGGCTTAAAACAAAAATTACTAAATAACTTTCTATCGCTGGATTCGAACTTGCAACCTTTGGAGGCAGATGATTATGCCTATCCGCCATCCCTGTCCACAACATAGTAGCTCAGCTGGTAGAGCACGGCGCTTGTAACGCCACGGTAGTGGGTTCGATCCCCGGGACCACCCATACACAAAAAAAAAAAAATGTATGCACGCATGACTGTAAGTCGCTTTGGATAAAAGCGTCTGCTAAATGGCATATATTATATATTATATATTATATATTATATTATATTAACACCCTAGCAAAACCTAAATCTACTTGAAGCTAACAGCGCTCACTGTTGCCCCTAGTGGCCGTTTTCAACGTCATCTCCCGACATCCTCAGACATGGATGGACATCGAATACTGATTTGTATCACGGGTAACCTGGCTGGAAAATGATGACGATGACAATGACGATCAGCAACCAATGTCTTGCCCCTGTTGTGTGCCCCTGTTGACTGGTTCGATGTGAGTAAATGTTTTTTGGATCTGGCCTGACAGTTGATCAATTAAGCCGACTGGACAAGTAGTGTCAGCTCTGCTCTCTCCAGACCAAAGATAACAATGTCTGTCTTACTTTGAAGTGCTGTGTGCATAATGTGTATTTTTGAACGTGAATGAACCTAACTGCCGGAAGCTTTTAATCCATCATCGATGCACAATGAAGTTGAATAGTGGAGATACAATCAAGATGTCTCCAGCAACGCCTGAAGCCCAGTTAAAAATGGATAAAAGGTCATTTCTCCTACAGTAGAGCCTTCTGTTAGCTAAATGACTGTATGAATGTGTCTAATGATGCACAGCCCTAAATGATGTGTAGAGATAGATCAGGCCATTTTCAGGAGAGGAGAGGAGAGGAGAGGAGAGGAGAGGAGAGGAGAGGAGAGGAGAGGAGAGGAGAGGAGAGGAGAGGAGAGGAGAGGAGAGGAGAGGAGAGGAGAGGAGAGGAGAGGAGAGGAGAGGAGAGGAGAGGAGGAGAAGAAAGGAGGAAAGGAGAAGAGAAGAGAGGAGGAGAGGAGGAGAAGAGAGGAGAACATTAGAGGAGGAGAGGAGAGGAGGAGAAGAGAGGAGGAGAGGAGGAGAGGAGAGCTGCCACGACTGCTGTTTTTTTCTTCTCTTTCGTTGAATGGCAGATGGAGTTGTGTAGCCCTGAAGAAGGGATTAGAAGACCTTGAATAGAGGAGGAGGTCAGCGACCATTAGGCCTCTCTGAAGGGAACTAAGCCCTCAGTAACCACCCTGTTATCTTTACACAGAGCTATTAGCTCTGACGATAGCCTTTTCAAAGACAAGCTCTAGTGAAAGTTGCTTCAAACTTCTAAAGGAGTCTGTCTCAGGCTTTCTGGGGTAATTACAGCTGAGAAATGATTATTCTCCCTGGCTGTGAAGGAATTTGCGACGTGATTTGTTCATTTTACATTAGCGTTTTATAAGTGCTCAATAGCATCTCTGAGCTAGTGGTGACGGGATTGAAAGAATTGGGATGGGAAACTGTGTGATGGAATTGCCATTTTAGAGGGAAAGAAATAGACAAGAATAAAGGGAAGGAAAATAGAAAGAAGTTTAATGGAAAAAGTTTGGGTGTCAATACAGTCAGTGGATTATTGTTCAGTCCAGCGGATTGAGAGCATGCACTAAGGCAGAGTTCACATGTTCTTGTAGAGAAACAGTGTTTGTTGTTCTTTCTAGCCCTCATTCTCTTAGAGAAAGTGTGCTTGTGCGTGCATGTTTTTTTCTGTGTGCGTTTAGCATGCAGACCATGCACTGCACGCTGAAGGGAAGTGCCTGCCTACCCAGAGCATGCGAGGCCAGACAGGTGGCTGGCTGCAGTTTAAACCCTCTCTCTCTTTCCTAATGATCTCCTAAAGGCAGTTAGAAGTGTGCGTGGCGTGGTGCTGCCAACAGGCTCACAGTGAAACACACAAACCTCCTGGTCTGAGAAATGACCTGGCATCAGTGGCATGTCACCAGCCCATCTGCCTAGTAATGTCACAGGCAGTACAGTAACAGTACATTAGTAGTGGCAGAGAGAGAGAGAGGGGGGACTGACTCAGGACCTGTCTGGTTAAAGTGCATGCTGGGAGACCTGAAGCGTTCGAAGACCGTTAACAATGGGATTACTGTGTGCTATTGTCACTCATTACTGACTTTTTAGTCAATGGCTATTGACGTTTCTGAACGGATTTTCTTCCGTTCTACATAATAACAGTGGAACTGTATGTAGTTATTATTCTTGAACTGTCTCCTCTGTGTGTAGGTGGTGAGGTGACGATGCCGCGGTTCACTCAGTACTTCCGGGGCAGTCTGTCAGGGCTGACCATCAGGCCAGGGAAGATAGAGAGCCAGAAGGTAATCTCCTGTCTACAGGCCTGTAAGGAAGGACTGGACATCAACTCACTGGAGAGCCTGGGCAAGGGCATCAAGGTAAGGCAACAGACACACACACACACAGAGGGAGATACACAGACACATGAACACAGACTGTAAACACATTCAAATGCTGATATACATTCAAACATATGTTAAAACACTTAGTCTCCCCTTCCTTTCCTCCCCTAGAGAGAGAGAGGCCTTATCATAGAAGTCTTTGGACTGTTGTTCCACAATGAAATCCTGTCAGCCTTTTAAGGTAGAGTGATAGGATGAGAGGAGAGGAGAGGAGAGGAGAGGAGAGGAGAGGAGAGGAGAGGAGAGGAGAGGAGAGGAGAGGAGAGGAGAGGAGAGGAGAGGAGAGGAGAGGAGAGGAGAGGAGAGGAGAGGAGAGGAGAGGAGAGGAGAGGAAGGGAGGTAAAACTCTGCAGGGCTAGTTCACTTGATCTTTTTCAAATGATTTCTTTTTCTTTTTGTGTCTGCACTTTTCCATGGGTCTCCTGAGTATAGTACAGCTTAAGGACAGTGTTTAGGATCAGGTGGGAACCTTGACAATGCAATCACAGGAGAATGAGAGGAAAGAAAGAGAAAGAGGGGGGAGAACAGAGGGATAAAAGGAAATGGAGAGAGCCCCCTGAAGCGTAGTGTCTTTGCTTCTGTGTGTGAACGAGGCTGTGGTATCAGCAGCACAAAGTCTCTTCAGTGAGACTGAGACTCAGTGCATAATGTCCACTGGGACCCAGAGCTGTGTCTGAATGTGTCTGAGCAACACAATAAGCTTATGACCTCTCAAACAGAGAAGAAGAATGAACACACACTCATGATGTACACTCAAACACACTCAGTCAGACACACCCAGTGTGGGTTACACTGTGGTAAAGTATGGTGTGCTCTCTCTCTGTCTCTCTCTCTCTCTCTTCTCTCTCGCTCTCTCAGTTCCACTTCAACCCAGCCCAGTCGATCCTGGTGATGGAGGGAGAGGATCAGGAGAACATGAACGCTGCTCTGAGGAAGGTCTCCTACATCAACTCCCGCCAGTTTCCCACACCGGGCATCAGACACCTGCACATCTCAACCTCAGTACAGTACGCAAGCAATGACTAATTCTACCTTTACTACTGACCGTTACATCTTTTCTATCTGTCACTCTCCCTCTCCTCTGTCCTTCATTCACCTCAGTACAGTGTGACTGGATAAGGTCTTCTCTCTCCTGTCCTTTAACCACCTCACAGTGTGACTGGATAAGGTATTCTCTCTCCTGTCCTTTAACCACCTCACAGTGTGACTGGATAAGGTCTTCTCTCTCCTGTCCTTTAACCACCTCACATTGTGACGACTATCTGTCTTTTTTCCACCTCAGTCCAGTTTAACCTACTGTACCTGTACCTGTACCTGTCTGTGCATTTAGTCATCTCTCTCTCTGTCCTCCCTCTCCATCTCTTTCTCTGTCCTCCTCTACAATCTCTATCGTAACTAAATACAAAGATCGCATTATATGTAATAGAAATCAATATTAGTAATATAAATCTCTATTGTAATAATATACATATCAATGAAGAATAGTAAAAATCGATGTAAGAAGTAAATAGGATCATGAAGAACAAATCTATTAGTGAGGTAACTAACAACGAATAGTATGTCGATCAGATAAAGATGATCTCTGTAATGAAATCATCATATTATGTAATACAATCAATTATATGATACAATCTAAAATATAGTAGATAATCAATCATAAGCTACTTAATCTACCTCAATGTCTAAACCCATCTATGTATCATCATATTCTCTCTAGTCTTACAGCTCAATGTAAGAAACTATATATTAGATCTCTGCTCTCAATAATAGTATAGAGATACATATAAGATTCTATTAGCTGAATCTATTTCTCTGTTATCTTTCTCTCATCTATCATTCGTATCCTAGACCATATCTCTATGTCTCCAATCTCTCTTCGTTCTCATCTCTCATGTACCCTATCCATTTCTCTCTCTGTCCTCCCTCTCCATCTCTCTCTCTGTCCTCCCTCTTCATTTCTCTCTCTGTCCTCCCTCTCATCTGTCTCTCTGTCCTCCATTTCCATCTCTCTCTTAATGTGATCTATCTCAACACCTTTTCACTGTGAGTGTTAACTAGTCTCAACATCTTCTCACTGTGAGTGTAAACTAGTGTCAACACATTCTCACTGTGAGTGTAAACTAGTCTCAACACCTTCTCACTGTGAGTGTAAACTAGTCTCAACACCATCTCACTGAGAGTGTAAACTAGTGTCAACACCTTCTCACTGTGAGTGTAAACTAGTGTCAACACCTTCTCACTGTGAGTGTAAACTAGTGTCAACATCTTCTCACTGTGAGTGTAAACTAGTCTCAACACCTTCTCACTGTGAGTGTCAACTAGTCTCAACACACAACAACAGCACAACTCATTGGAGCACATCTCACACTTGCTCATGTAGATGGTTAGCTACTCCCTCTCCTCCTCTCCCTCTCCTCCTCTCCCTCTCCTCCTTTCCCTCTTCACTTCTTTTGTTCTTTAAACCACCACTCTCTCTGTTCCACATCGCCACCTGGGGCAAGTTTTTACATTTTCATGTTATTTATTAATAATTCTGTCTGGGTTTTGCCAGAGGACAGAGAGAGAGATAGAGGGAAACTGGATGCTATTCTACAACAGCCATCACTGGTGGGCTGTGATTAATATTCATAGCAGGTTTAAATATGTGCAGCCCCCCACAGCTCAGCCCTGGAGGGTTGTACTCCGCCCCCCTATTGGGTTCGACGCAGGGCTGCGGGCCCATCCCTTCAGCTAGCTTAGCAAGGAAGGAGGAGGGCTAGGAAGAGGAGGGGACGACTGGGCTGCAGGCACACCGATTAGAAATGAATACATTATGCTAACTATGCTTAAGCTTGTGTATTTCTAGATGTTGTTTAATAAAGTTTTCTGGTTGTGTGTAGGAGGATGGCTGGGACTGTGGTACGCAGGCTATCCAGTGGTCTGCACTGCCTGTGAACCTTGTTGCGCTCCAGCTGTTGCTCACAAAGAGAGTGCTTGGTAGTCATCCAAGACAAGCTTTGATAACAATAATGTGTAAATCAGCAGGCATTGATGAATCAAAACAGAATTAATTTAGAATAATGTCCAGTAAATAGGCCTGCAGAGCAGACTGTCTGTTAGGCTACAGCCAAAACATAAACTCCTCCTGAGGAATGCTGCTATTTGCTGGAAATGTCCCCGTAAGTGCCGTATTATTGTAAACAAATAAATAGAGTTGTTAATTAATTCCTTAAAACACACTTAAGAGTGTTTTCAACGTAATAATGCAATTACTGCAGCCATCAGGAAACAGTAACTAATGTTAATCTATGTAGGGTCTTTATTCTACCTTGTCATATTTTCTTTAATTAATTTGGTTGGGGTCCAAGTCCTCGCCATGGCCCAAGCCTGCTGTTTCCACGCTCTGCTGTCTCTGCCTCCTCTCCACAACAATACCCTGCCGAGGCGGGGAAAGACACAACTTGCGGATGACGTTTACAGGCTATGTGAGGAGGTTTACAGGCTATGTGAGGACGTTTACAGGCTATGTGAGGATGTTTACAGGCTATGTGAGGACGTTTACAGGCTATGTGAGGACGTTTACAGGCTATGTGAGGAAGTTTACAGGCTATGTGAGGACATTTACAGGCTATGTGAGGACGTTTACAGGCTATGTGAGGACGTTTACAGGCTATGTGAGGACGTTTACAGGCTATGTGAGGACGTTTACAGGCTATGTGAGGACGTTTACAGGCTATGTGAGGACGTTTACAGGCTATGTGAGGACGTTTACAGGCTATGTGAGAACGTTTACAGGCTATGTGAGAACGTTTACAGGCTATGTGAGGACGTTTACAGGCTATGTGAGGACGTTTACAGGCTATTTGAGGACGTTTACAGGCTATGTGAGGACGTTTACAGGCTATGTGAGGACGTTTACAGGCTATGTGAGGAAGTTTACAGGCTATGTGAGGACGTTTACAGGCTATGTGTTGACGTTTACAGGCTATGTGAGGACGTTTACAGGCTATGTGAGGACGTTTACAGGCTATGTGAGGAAGTTTACAGGCTATGTGAGGAAGTTTACAGGCTATGTGAGGAAGTTTACAGTGTAGCGATGGGATGGACGGAGTCAGGTGCAGGAGTGTGAAGAAGGAATATGCTTTATTCAGTCCAATAAGGTAGTCCGCAGCAATGCGGAAACACGATCCCAGTGCAACTTAAATGCGTACTGGGAACCAGACATACGCAGGTAAATATTCCAGGCGATAAAATAACAAACATTCTCAACCGAGCTAGCGAAACCTCCACAAAGTAACAATAACACACAAAGACATGGGGAGCAGAGGGAATACTTATACAGACACTGATGAGGGGATATGTACCAGGTGTGTGTGAAAAGAAGACAAAACAAATGGAAGGATGAACAGAGGAGCGGCAGTGGCGAGAAGGCCGGTGACGATGAACGCCGAAGCCTGCCCGAACATGGAGATGAGACAGCCTCGGAGGGATCCGTGACATACAGGCTATGTA